CCCCAAAACCCCAAAACCCCAAAACCCCAAAACCCCTTTAGTTTATTAAATTATTGATGCTAATATTATGGCTCGTTGGGTGTTCGCTCTTGAAGTGTAATGGTCTTTTCTTTGAAAGCACTCATAATTATGTTCTTTGCTAGCCCTAAGCCTGGATTACTAAGCGTGGGTTGTCTGGACATTAACTTTAGCTTACGAAGGTACTTCACTGGCTGAAGAGTCAGGACAAGAGTCTTGTTCCAGAGGTCTACCTGTACTTTCTACAGATTGTTAGGAAACCTACCTCTCTTGTGGTTAGAGCTTTGGTCTGAGTCAGAAACTTTTGATTCTTCGCCATGAGAGATTATTGTGGAGGAGTCGTGGTATAGGTGTTTGGATATGCTAGATATTTTTAACTGTTCGGAATTGAACTTAGCAACCCTCCATTGGACAAGTCTTTGATTGAACCTGATTCATGTCATGAAGATCCATACAACCAGCATCAGGATCCCTGCTATGAAATAGAATTTTAGGAGAATGAAGATTATTCGTATGAGTAAATTGTTGTGTTCATCCTTTTCTTCTTGAAGTGACCTAATTTTTATTCAAAATCAGCAACTTACCGTATAATTCTATCCTTTTTGGTTAGTTTGATATTAATCTTCTCATTTAAAGATGAGTAGAGGTAAATTCTTTTCGAGTCTTCGATTCTTATATTGTGTTCTGAAGAATTATCTCTCTGCAATAATTTCAGTTTCCCATCATGTTTCATAGAATAAATATCTAGTGTTTTCTTCTTGACGTCATCTATAGAAAAAATTAATCAAGATCTCATATCTTCTATTTAGAAAATAATTCGTAATTTTGGAAGTAAATCCAAGTGGCGAAAATTATTTGTCGCCTTTTTCCTAGATTTCAGGAGGCATTAAGCCTCCTGAATATAACACAGAGGAGATGTGAAATAAGTATAAGAGCTGTTATAGAATTGAGGGTTACCATTTTCAAGATTTATTTCTTGTATCCTCATGAATTTCTCTTGTAGATTCATTTCTCATGGTATATTTTCTTTTAATTTGATGCTCAACAGATTGGATTCGTTCTGGCTTTGCCCTTCTTGTATATCTCATTGCTCAACGAGCAAGTTTTGGTCTTTGTTAATAAAGAGGACGATTATAGCAGGGTTCTCTGATTCTAAGAGGCGATTTTCTTGGGAAAGAAAAGCCTGTGTAGAAGTTGGCATACCGGAGATGGCTGGCAGAAGTATCAGCCCTTCAACCACCAAAATCCCGTACAAAAGTAAAGGTATTGAACTCATTTCAGCTCCTATTAAAATGTAGCAAAAATGTTTTATTTTTTTAATTCAAAACTATCTCAGTTGGAAGGGGTTTTGGGGTTTTGGGGTTTTGGGGTTTTGG